CTTCTGCCACATCTTTCTCAACATGCTTTCTCAGACTGCCATTTTCTCTTTCTGAACAGTGAAACAAAAATGGCAGAAGTGTCAGTGTCTGCATGGCCCACCTTTAGCAAAATGGCCTGGATAACAACTGTTAAGATAGCAGTGGGAATATAAACAGTGTATGTGAATGGAGGACCCAAAACTGCCTGAGAAGACATTTGTCCCAAATGATCGTGTAAGAGAGGAAGACAAGCATCAGCCAGATGCAAAGGTGGTACATGTGCTTGTAACCCACACGTCCCTCTCAATGTGTGTGTGTAAGACCACATGTATGTGTGGAAGAGGGAGATTAGAGCTTTTTGGGATAAGTGGAGGGTGGAGATGTACAGGTATTAATTAACATTTTGGAAGTGTCTAGTACTCTGGCTTAGCTGTTATATTATTGACATGGATCTCAAATGAATAGTTCACTGGTTGCTGGTCAATTCTGTGTCATGAATAAATCAATAAACACTTTGATCCAGATTCAGTATAGAGGATGTGAAGGGAGCAGTTTTTCTTTGTGACAGAGCCACCATTTCAAACCTGCTTCAGAAAGCTGTGCTCGCAGCCTGCAGCCCTCTCACTCTGCTCTTGCCCAGCTCCGGCTGTGAGCTCTAGCAAAGGGAAGTCTGGGGCTGACATTTGAGTAACAGGTTGGGTACACTGGACTCAGCAGGGAGGTTATTAGGCTCATCTGAGATTGCAATGCTCTAGTTTTGTGTTTTGTCAGATGGGAGGGAGTTAAAGCTCAGCTGCCAAAGGTGTATGTGATCCTACTCAAGCAGCGTTTCTTTGAAGAGAATGGCTAAGGAGAGGAAAGGCAATACTGTACATTTGTGTAAAGCTTTCAGCACAGTTAATCCAGAATCCTGAAACTACCCTCTTTCAAATTAGAGCATGCCACCCTCTCTGCTGTTTGCCTTCCAAATGTGTGACAATAAACAGGAACCCCATGCACTGGGAACTGCTGGGGTTCACAGTAAGTTTATCTCACTGCTAATTTAGGTTGTTTTTCCTTTTGTTTTATGTTCTGCCATATTTGGGGGGCACCAAATATGCAACATATTGTGGATGCTTGTGTTGTTTCATCTGTGTGAAGAACTTCTGAAAGACCATTGACTATAGCAGAAGGGACAGGCACCATCTTTTCATTGCTGGATTACTACATTATAGCTCTGATCTCTGGGAATGCTCCCATCACTAGAAAGCACACAGGATAGAGTTGTGTCTCTTTATGAATTCCTAAAGCACGTCAGGTTGAATTTCAAACATTTTTTTTTGCTTTTATAAGCAATGTATTTCTTCTTGCTTATAACTTTTCCGTCATCTTATTCAGGTTTGGAACAGGGCTAGAACAGCAGCTCAGCTTTGGTTTGCTTGACAAATAAAGTGAATTGCTTTCTATTATGTCACAGATAATAAAAAAAATCAATAGAAACTTTTTCATTATTTTCAAAGTATATGTTAAATATGGGGCTTTTCTTATGCTTGAGTACAGGTCTAAAAGGAACATCAGTTTATAAAGAAAAAACAATAGGTTATATTTAAAAATTGCAACATAAAGTAATGTGACAATCTCAGGTTTTTATCTCTGAGCAAGAACTAATTGTTTATTTTTTTGGTTGACCCAAGTCTCAATTTTTAGAATAAATACAATTTTAAAACAGCAATTAAAAATTAATTTTCCCTTAGCTTTACTTCTGATTGATGTGGTAGCTGGGATTTTATTTCATGTAATTATCTCTTTCGTGCTTACCAGGTAGAAATAGATTTAGTTTATTCAACTTTCTCTTTCTGTCTTCACAATATATTTCCCATCAGACAGTTTTGGAAGTTTGATTAGTCTGTATTTACTCTTCCTCAGATGATGAACAGGCAGTATGAGAGAGACAGAAAATCAGGCAGGAAAGGAAATGCCTCTGGCGTACCATAAAGGTCATTGTAACAATCTCATAATCTCATTTCCTCTTTAAAGTTTACCTGGGAGTCCCAAACTTTTTTTTTTTTTTGCTTTGGCTCTGCCACTATGTAAAAAAGGAACTCAAGCCACGTGTTGCAATTCTGTGGTATTGCGGTGAAACGGAGCATCCCTTTCCTTTCAGATTTAGAAGTATTTATAAGGGAGCCAGCACTTTGCTTCCTTCAGATCACAAAACCAACCTGCCTGGCAACTTCAGCTAACAGGCATCACAGGAAAAGGTGAGAATTCCTTTCTTCTCTAACACTGGGGCAACACCAGTCTGGTACCAGCTGCTTCAGATGAAACTAATGAAAACTTTAAATTATTTATTTGACAGTGTATTTAAATAGTTGTGACATTCTTCTCAGGACAGTATTTATATGCTTATGTGCCTGAAGTTCAGCACATAATGTATATAGGTATATAGCTCATAGCATTGTTATCTAACTTACAGAACAGCTAATGTTATAAGGTAATAATCTTTTGTATCTTACCAATATTCATGTTGCTGGGGTGTGTACATTGATAAATATGTATTTATGGTCAGACTGTTCTGTGTTTTAAAAAACATGCAACACCATTGACTTGGCCCTGCCTTGAGCTGGGACTGGTCCAGATGATGTCCAGAGGTCCTTTCTGACGTAAATTATTCTGTGATTCTCAGTGAAGGAATCTGGGCTGATTTACAGCAGCTCATGCTCCAGATCACAGGGAACATATGATGTTGGTACACTCTCCTCATCTGTGAAGTGTTCGGGCAACTGCACTGATTAGTGATGTTCAGAAACTGAGTTTATTTCTGATTAATTTTTCAATAAAATTTTGAGATGGGGGGAGGTAGTGTTCTCCGCCCCGTCTCAAAAATGGAATATTTTTCCATTAAAATTGTTAACTTTTTTCATCAAAAACCTGAATCATGAAGCTTCTCCCTAAAATCAGAAGAAACTTTTCTGTTTTCAAGGTTTCAATTTTGATGAAAGGTTGATACGGAGAAGAAGGCATGTTTTACACCCTTCTCCTCCAAGTTTTAACTGATATTTCAGATACTGACTTTATGAAGCATAGTGATGAATGCCATGTTACAATGAAAGAAATGAGCATCTTTCAGAAAGTTGCAAAATGTATTTTTCTTTTGCAAATTACAGATAATCCTGCCTGCAATAGAAAATCATCAGGAGCTAAGAATGTTTGCCTTTTAATGAAGCAATATACTGCTGATAGGCTACCTGATAGTATCTGGCTTTTCACTGAGGCTCGTGCCTCTCTCTGAATACAGATGCAATGTGAACTGGCTCCTCTCCTAAATACTCTCTCCAGATACTATACTTGTACCTTCTGGTCCCATTAATAGCTGTGTGGTATACAAAATCAGATGGCACGCTTTCTTGGCGTTGGTCCAGAGACAGCTGACTTCTGATCAAGATTAAGGACTGCTAATAGTAGCAGGAGCTGCCAGTGAGTAACAGGTTTGGTGCACATAGAAATACACACGTACTCTTCCTCCATAAACCCAGATGAAAATACTTTGTAGCACATGAGAAGAAATCAGGAGGACTACTCCGCTTTCACTGAAAAAGATTGGTTTGGAAGGAAAACAAACCCAAACCACTTAATTTTGTGTTTTTCATGGGCATTCAGACTCCCACTGTAGTCAGAATAGACTTTGAATGATAGATTCACCAGTCTCTTTTTCTGAGTCATACTCCTATTCATTTAGCTTAATCTCTAGTTGGAAAAGGTCTGAAAGTGTATCTAAATAACTGTCATCAAAGTTTTTTATGCACCCGGTAGTTACTACAATATTTGGCAAATATGTTTTGTGTTTCATGAAGAGCTCTAGCTGTATTTTGAATTCAGGACAAATATGCATTTATGTATTGTATATACAGCTATATACTTATATATTCTCAAGTGAGATATATGTATATGTCTCAAATGAACAAAGCAACAATGATATACGTATCCAGCCATTTCTGCAAATATAGTTGTGGCACAGACTCCAGTAGGAATTTTGCCTGAAATTGCTTGCAAAATTAGTTAGACTATGCAACCTCAGGTGGATGCTAGAACTACTACCACTTAGGCAAGTGCCAGTATTGATGCCAGCTCTACACTGCATTATTGACACTGCTGTCACTTGTTCTCACAGAGACGGTTAAGACCACAGTCCAGCAAAACACTTCAGCAGGTCCTTAATTTTATTCACAATCCTTTGTTTTAATAAGACTACTGACATGCTTAAACCAAGGAATATACTTGTAAGCTTTGTATGACTGGAATTTAATGTCCATTGATCCTTTAGTCCAATGCCTTGTTCATGTAACTAGCCTCACTGACATCAGCAGGACTTTTCTTGCATAAGGAATATTTAACTGAGGGACCTGGGAATGATTCTGAGCTCCTGACCATATAAGACCTACGCACACAACAATTTCCTCTAAGTTCTGTGATTTCTTCTCTAAACTGGTTTGCGGTGTGAATAACAAGTGGATCAAAATCTTGGCTTGAGCTCCAGTACAAACCTGATATTCAATTTTTATGTAGTCTAAGAGTTCTTAGAATGGGAGAATGTTTCTTAGTTCACAAGAACTGACTCTGTCTTCTTATTATCCTGTCCAGCATTGAGCTTGATTTCAGTACACACTCAACAATCCTCAATGAAGTTTAGTAATTTATTTTTTCCCTAC